CATGGTATCCGCGGTGAGGACTGTTGTTGCTGTTGGTGTTGCTGTTGTTGTTGTTGTTGGAGAAAGCACGTTTCGCGGGCGCTTAAGCGAGAGCACCAAAGCGGATTAAAGGGGCACGACAAGAATTACTGTTTAGTCGTTAAGATGCAACCATCACTTAAATGCTGATCGTTTCTATCTTTTTGCGTGCCATTCAACAGCAGCAGCAACAACAACAACAACCATACTAATGTTAAGGCTGCTCGCTCTGACCTGCTCGCATGCCGTTCAGCACGTATAATCCCAAATCGTCGACACCCGCCCTCTAGGTCTTCGATCGCACCCCTGGGGATCTACCTTCCTCACCTGCCGCGTGTAGTTGGTACAGCCCCTAAACAAAGGAAGAGGGAACCGGATGGAAAAGGGAGGGCGAGGGAGCAAGAGATTGAACAAAAGGGGACTTGGAGCAGAAAACACGTGGCAGAACCAGACTGGCTGATCGGGTGGGTAGACCCTAACAGCTGGGCCGGAAGGCGGGCCCAAGCGGCCAGGTCGGGCCAGCGAGCTGAAACGCGAATGCTGCATGAATCGCGTTGAGGTCTCGAGCGGTCGCACGATTCCCAGATGAATCGCGAGAGAAACAAAAGCGAGAGCGCGACTACTGAGAGTCGAGGGCGCGGCGTTTCAATGAATTGCGAGGAAATCCCACGCGAGAGCGCGATGCCCGCATAAATTATGAGGATGTCCCGCGCGAGAGCGCGATTTCTCCATAAACTGTGGGAGCATATCAGGCAGGAGCCGTCGTTGTGGCTGTTGTTGTTGTTGAATACTCACTTCTAAAGAATGATTATTGTTGATCTCCTGAAACGGTTCCGCGCGCTCTCGCCTTGACGCCGGCTACAGTTCCTCTGAAAACGAAGCTCCCGTTCGAGCGATGGCTTGAGCCTAAATGTGGGCATTTGGAGGCCTAGCTACGACAACAACGGCTCCCGCTCGATATTTCCTTACACTTTACCCCGAGACACCCTGGCCAGAGAGGCCCACGAACTCAGGAACGGCGCTCTCGCTCGAGACTTTCTCGCAATTCAGTCAAGTTGGCGGAGGCCCAGCCACGACGACAAGGGCTCCTGCTCGATACGTCCTCACGATTTACTCAGAGAGCCCCTGGCCAAGAAGGCCCCCGAGTTCAGGAACGGCGCCCTCCCTCGAGACTTTCCCGTAATTCAAGCAAGTTGGTGGAAGCCCGGACACGGCGACAATGACTCACGTTGGATATTTCGCCACAAGTATTCCGAGAGCCCCTGGCCTGAGGCCCCCCAACTCAAGAACGGCGCTCTCGCTCGAGACTTTCTCGTACTTCAATCAGTGGCCGACAAGGAAGAGATGAGCGCGTTTCTTTATGCTCGGCGATGACGGACGTCATGGGGGGGGAGGCGACGGGGGGTATGACGTAATGCCCCCCCCGCCGTGTGGCTCCGGTACCGTAGCCGCGCCCGCGCGCGCGACGCGACGAACGACGAGCGACGACAACGACGACGACGATGACGACGACGACGACGACGACGCGAGCAGCATGTAAGTGGCGATATGCCCCACTGCGCCTGTGTACACCACAACGCTCGCGTGCACCACAAAGCGCGTGTACACCACAGCGCCTGCGCACACCGCAACAACCGTGTCAACGCAGCGCCTGTGTACACCACTGCGCGCGTACACTACATCGCCAGTGTACAAGTGTACACCGCAGCTACCATGTGCAACACAGCGCCTGTGCACACCACAATGCTGCAATGCTTGCGCGCACCGCAGCTCCTGTGCACGCCACAGCGCGTGTCTACACCACAGCATTTGTGTGCAACGCAGCGCTTGTGTACGCTACAACGCCTGCGTGCATAGGACAGGTAGTAAGAGCATGTATGTGAGGATCTGCTGCGGACAAGTAGACGCCACGGCAGGAAAGTGCTGATAATCGAAAACGACGTTTTTCCCTCCTCCCTCCTCCTCCATCTCCCCTCCTCTTTTTCTTCCTCCTCCTTTTCCTTCTCCTCCTCATCCTCCTTAACCCCTGTCGTTCGGATTGGCGCTGCATTGCACGTGCGCATGTCAGCACGCACCGCTGACTGGTTTATTGGATCGGTACATTTGGTTTTCGGACGGCCACTTTAGCTGGAGCCTCCTGGACACAAATGCGATGAGTTACGGTGACGCGGGTGGACTCGGGGAGACTCGTAGATTCCAGCGGCACTCCGTTGCCCATAAGGATTATTATCCAATGTTTAATGTGGAATCCACAAGCGCTCCATTTTGTCATAAGGATTCGTTCTAGCATTCTATATATACAATGGTGGTACTGTGTTGCACACGGTTGGTGTGGTGCACACAGGCACCGTGGTGTACACCGGCACTGCAATGCACGGAAGAATTGTGGTGCACACTGGTGCTGTATTGCACACGGCTGATGTGGTGTACGCAAGCGCCGTGGTGTGCACAAGACCTGCTTTGCCCGCAGGCACGGTGGCCCAAACTGACGGTGTGTTGCACGCAACTGCTGTAGTGTACATAGGCGGCGTGGTGTACGCAAGCACTGTGGTGTACACAGGCGTTGTGGTGCAAATCGCCACCTACATGCTGTTCGCCACCCGTCCTCCGTCATTCCTCGGCATTCCCAGACGCCGCCGGCGCGAAACGTGACGTCATCGACCCCCTCCACCCCCCATAGATGATTGCCGTCATCGGCGCACGACGACTATTTGCGACGAGCGACAAGCCACGAGAGACGACGACGACGACGACGACGACGACGACGACGACGACGACGACGACGACGACGACGGCTGCGGACCAGACTCCTGTGCGGATTCCTACGCGGACACCTACGCGGATCCCAATGCGCACGGCGGCAGTTCCCGGAGCGCACTGGGGGGGGAGCGTTACGTTACAAGGGGGGGGGCGGGGACCATGACGCCCGTCATGCCCCAAGCAGTAAAGAAACGGACTCGATTCCCCCCGAAAGGGGGGGCAATCGAAAACGAAGTGGGCGGGCATCGAGGGTTAGGGTATACGGAATGCAAGACAAGCGTGCCAGTAAAAGCGAACAGTCTTGAAATGATTAGTGCGGTTATTGTTGTTGTCATTCGGTGGCCATGGGCCCAGTTTGGTGACACCACGCTCTCCCTTGTGAGACGTAAAGTACAAATCTCGGGAGGAACATTGCAATCGCAAAAATACCCTGGTCACTGGAAGACGGTCAGCAATGAATATTCTTAGAAACGCGAACTCAACGGCTCCAGCGTGATACTTCCTCACGACTTATTCCCAATTGCGCTCTCGCGAGGGGCTTCCTCACAATGGATTCAAGAATCGTGCTCTCGCGTGGCACTCCCTTACGATAGAATGAGACGCCGCGCCTTCGACACTCAGGAACAACGTTCTTGCTCTGCCCGTTCTCACGATGTATTTGGGAATCGTGCTAATGCTCTAAATAAACTCCTCGCGATTCATGTAGGACTCACGATTCAGCGACCCGCCTGCTCGACCTGGCCGCCTGGGCCCGCCTTCCCGACCCGCCCGTTAGGGTTTACCCGCCCGCACTGTCCGTATGGTTCTGCCACGTGTTTTCTGTTCCTAACCTCCCTCCTGCTAATATCTCGTGTTCCATCAGTCACTCTCCCACGTGCACCTTCTTTCCATTCATCCTCTCTTTCCCTGATTTAGTGGCTGCGCCAAACACACGTGGCAGATAAGGAACATATACCCCTCAGGGGGCACGATCGAAGACGAAGAGGGCGGGTATCGAGGGTTTGGAATATAGGAATATACGTGTTGAATGGCACGCGAGCAGGCAAGATCGAACAATATTAAAATGATGAATGTTGTTGTCGTCGTCCTCACCCGCGACCCGCCCGCGACCACCCACTCTGCGACCCACCCCGCGACCCACCCACGACCCACCCGCGGCCCACCAGCGGCCAACCCACAGTGCTTTGACAAAAATTCAACGCCTGCGGCGGGCTTTTCGTATAATTTGAAACAAGAACGGGGCCTGCGGCAGGCTTCTTCAAAGTCTTACGGACTGCCGACGGCCCCGCCGCACCCTCAGTCTTGTCCGAATATAAGACAATACATTTGGATGTCCCGACGCGCGTCCACTCGTGATTTGAAATGTGCGTCCAATACAAATCAAAGATAACGGCACGCCCTCCCCAAACCTCTTTATCACCCGCAAGGTGGGCTAAAAGGTCACCTTGATTTTGCAGGGTCGACCTCCTAATCAGACCCGACCGAAACTGGCTGGTGACTCGCGGGGCCGCCACAAGTTGCGCCAAGCCTCGTGGGGGACCAGGGAGCACAGAACGTCCCCCTGCTGCACTCGGACGGACTTCCCCCGCGGGGCCGAGAAACTGCGCCGTCTCACGCTGCCTGCCTGCCGACGGAGAGCGAACCGAAGGGGCGGCTGAACGCAAGACTAGCCCTGGGCAAGAGTGACCGTTGGCACCCGGCTCTGGGGGGGCCGCGGGGAAGCCAAATCTCAGCTGGCAAGACAACGCTGGGGGGGGGGGCCTGTGGGCGCCCGTATCAGATGTCCCTCTGGCGAAGGGTCACTCCTACACGTAGTCGCAGGGGCTCGGTTCGCAAAGCACGCTGCCCAGTCCTTCCAAAGCCTCCCTGGCCTCCGCTCGGGGTGGGACGCGAGGGGTAGGATGTGGGGCGAGGGGGGCTGTGCTGTTCCAGCGGCAGGAGGTGCCCGAGCCTGTCATGCCCACCTGTCATGCCCCGAGGACTGTGCATGGCGGCGGGGCCGACCTCTCCGACCCTTTACCCCTGATCTCGGGGAACCACAAACTGCCTAAACATACGCTTTCGGGGGTCCGCGCGGACTTCTTGGGTCGGCGCTGGACCCGACGGCGCCTCCAGCGCCGCGCGCTGGGCAGGTGTGTTCCATCGCCGACCCGGAGGCTGCGCTCGGACCTCCGAATGCCGTTGTCCTTCGACGACCCCCTGGGGCGCGACCCCGAGCCCCACCGCGACGGCCGAGATGGGCGGTGCCAGCACCTGCAGCTTCGGCGGCAGCTGGTCCGGGCGCGGGCGGGGGCCGCCGCCCGCCCCCGGCCCCGTGGCCGGCCAGCTGCTGCGGCGCGGATCCGCCCAGTTCGTCGCGTGGCTGGCGGGCGGGCCGAGGCCACATCCCCGCCAGTCGCCTCTGGCCGGTGCTCCCACCCTCGCTCCTCCATCGGCCCCCCAAACCTCCCCTTCCTCCGCCGCATCCCCTCCCCTCCCCTCCCCTCCCCCGAACCCCTCCCGCTCTGCCCTCTCCTCCGCCGCACCTCCCCAACGATCCTCCCCGCACGCTTCTCCTTGGTTTCGCCAGTACTCCGCACTGGCCACGTGGGCGGTCGAGGTCACAGAAGGGCGAGAAGAAGACACAGGGAAGAAACCGAGGCTGGGGCAAGATGGGCACGATCCTCGTGATGGAATTGCCGAAATGGGTTTGGGCCCGCATGCGAATTGGCCAACAACAGATAATCAGGTAAAGTTGGTACGAGTTGCCTGACTGGGAGCGTGACTGAATCTACGCATGCCTGGGGCGACAGCGACAGACGACGAGGGGGGCAGAGCCGATGAAGGCGACGACGACGACGACGACGACGACGACGACGACGACGACGACGACGGCGACGTCGGCGACGGCGACGGCGACGGCAACAGCGGCGGTAACGAGGGCGGCGACGACGCCGGCGACGGCGAGGTCCTGTGTTCAGAACGCGCGACGGGCAAAACGTTGGAACCCACAGGAGAAACAAAGTAAAATTCTAGTCACGCCTGCCCCGTGCCCCTCGGAGACCTTCGCTGCCCTTACTTCATTATTTTCCGAAGGCAGAACGGTCCAACAAAATCGGTTCCAACACACACTATTTGTTCACCACTCGGATCCGTCAAAAAACCATCGGATTCGCATAGGATCCGTCCAAGAAGCATCGGATTCGCCGTAGCGGATCCGTACCCAGAAACGAGGCCCGAGGCGAGGTTGACACTCCCGAACGGGGACCGTCTTCAATGCCCCTGCACTCGTTTTCGGGTGCCCGGTGCTGCGCCCACCGCCCGCGATCTGCCGCCAAATCCCCTTTCCCCAGGCTGGCTGGGCCGACGGCCCCTGCACTGGCTGGACCGACAGCCTGGTAACTGCGTGCGATTTGAGCGTTCGGGCCAAATTCACAAATCGTACCAACTTACATGACTGTCTGTAGGGCCGTAGGTGAAACTCCATGTTGGGCACGATCCGCGCGAGGGATGTGCTGGATTGGGCGCGCCGCGGCATGCGAACTGGCCCACTCGGGCCGTAGGTGGAGCTCCCAATGAGGGCACGAAACGTGTGAGGGTGTGCCTATGGCTGCATGCGGTCCACCCCCACTCCACTTAGGCTGTAGATGGCGCGCGCTCGCGCGGAGAGCGCTGGGGCGGCGCCAGAGGCGCCGCCAGGCGGGGGCACCGCCGACATAGAAAATCGGTGCGGACCTCCGAAGGCCGACAAAAAGATGCACCGCAAAAGCGAAATTGGTTTGAAGGAAACGGGTCCTGAGGGACACGGGTTTCTGGACCCCGGGAGCCTTCTCCTGGGACCAGCTATTCCTCCCAAATGGTTTTCTAACGGCCCCGAGGCCCAGGGAGAGCCGTGGAGGGCCTGGAAACGAAGGAAAACCTCAGGACCCGTTTCCCTCAGGACCCTTTTCCTTCCCTGGACCTCTGCAGGGGCGCGGTCCGACCAAGACTTCGAGGCGGACCCAGCCGTGGCGACGAGGGACGGCCAGCGACGTCGGCATCTCGTGACTTGAAGGGAAGGGGCTAAAAATGGCACACGCACAAATTTTGGTAGGTCCGCACGGATTTCTTGGATCGGCGCTGGACCCCCCCTCCCTGGCGCGCGGCGCGCCTGGGAGATCCAGCGCACATCCGAGAAATCCGCGCGGAGCTCCAGAAGTTCACGTTCAGGCCGCTTCTCCTGGTCTTCGGAGAAAGCGGCGCCGCGGGAGCGAGGGAGCCTGGCGGCTCTGCCGCCGACATCGGCTCCGGGGCGGCCCACGCGGCCTGGTCCTGCCTCTCTGGCGGCGTCAGCGAGGGCGGCCGCGGCTCCCTCCCGCTGGCACCCGCAAAGGGCGGCGGGGGCGGCGGGGGCACTGGCGCGACGGGGCCCACCTGGGGCGGCATGGAGCGGGAAGCATCCCTCCCGCCTGCCGAGGGTCCGGGCGCCCCAGAAAGCACGAGGCGGCCGGTTCGTCGTATGTGTTACCCCTGTTCGAGGCGGGCCTCGGGCCTCGGGACCGTCAGACATGTGCTCGGGGTGGGAAACTGGCCCTGGGGGGAAGGGTCGAAAGGCCCAGGAGACCATGCTCGAGAAGATCGTGCCGCTGGATTTGGGCGTTCGCCCCCAATCCCCCCCTTGCCACGCTCACTCCCTGCCCTCTTCCCCATCCATCGCCCATCCCGCCCTCTCCGCCATCCTCCCAACAACTGCTTCGCATGATTAAACAAATTCCAATGCGACGCATTGCTAACCAATCCACCCCGCGAAGCAGCCAAGGCATCATGGACCCCTAAACAGTTGTTTTGTTTCATCCGCGGCCGCTTAAGAAGTCGGACGCCAGTCGAGCAACGGGAGGGGCGCTCTGGAAGCGGATTGAGCACACAGAAGCGGCGGACAGAAGGGATGGAGGCGGAAAGGGAAGAGCCGCGCTCGCGCTCAGAACGTAAGTCTCTCCCGCGGGCGCCAGAGGTAGATACACAGCGGCGTGGAAGACCAGGTCCACGAGGAGCGAGTACAGGGCAAAGAACACGGCGAGCACGAAGGTGATGCCGAGCGTGCAGCCCGTGAGGCAAAGGTGACGGTAACCCATGCGGCGACGTCAGTCGACCCGGAGCAAAACCAGGTGCAAGGGACCGCCAGGGAACCCAACCAAGATGAACTGAGAAGACGAGCCCGCGCACGAACCCTCAAAGCGCGAAAACCGCATAAGCGAAGGGCACTGACCGGGAAGCAACGACCAGGGAACGGTCGGGGCAAGCGACGAAGTCGAAGAGCACCATGGCAAACCGAGGACAAAATTACCTGCGATCGGTAGGGGGACAAAAAGGCGCCGTCGAGCTTGCCGAAAAAACACCGGCTTGAGCCCTGTGACGGGCTCGGCCGCGCAACGCTGGCAACCCAAAGGCTGCGGCCAGAAGACTGGCGGGGCCGCCGATGATGAGGCTGCGCCGGCGGGGGGGGAAGGGTAAGGAGAAAGAGGGAGGGAAGCAGGGGCAGGCGGGAAAGCAGCGCGAGGACGAGGCCAGGAGACCAGGGGGGCGAAAAAACAGAACAGCGCGGGAGAAAACCAAGTAACCAGGTGGGCAGAAAGACCCACCAGAGTGGGAGAAGACAAGGCCAGGGCGGCGTGGACAGAGCGCACTCGGTACTGGGACCAAGTGCGCAGCGGCCGCGACCAAGGCCAATGGGCCCCGGCACGGCCCGCGGACCGCCTCCCGCGCTGGTGCCGGGTCAGCACCACACCCTCTCGCCCGGCCCACACCGCGACGTCGTGTCCGGCAACTGCGAGCCCGCGGAGGAAGACCAGGCATTGGGCAGCCGACCGTCTCCCTCCATGGTCGAAGGTGACGTGCCGCCTGCCCTCGTCTTGCGACGCGCAGGAAGCGCGCCCAACTGACGAAAACGAGCCCAGCCTCGCGATGGAGCCGTTGACGCAGTCGCCTGGCGTCTCGCCGTCAAGTGGTTCCCACCAGATCAGCCCACGAGGAAGTTCGCACAGAATGTCGTCGTTCCCTGCCAGGGCTGTCTCGCGACGCCCAGGTCCTTCCCTGGGCACCCCCGGGTTCTCGCGGCCGAGGACCGCCCCGCCCGCCCACGCGGCCGCGGCAGTCAAGGGCAGGGCCGAGATGGGGACGCAAGCCGACGACAGGGGCAGGGCTTATACGGGACACGGCTGCCGATTGCGGCCCCCCGGGGCCGCCGGGGGCGCCGTCGGCCGCCGTTTCGAATGAGTCATCGGGCGAGGCGTCGGCGCGGGCGCTGGGGGGGCCCCGGGTTCTCGCGCCCCGCTCGTCCGGGTCGTCGTCGTCGTCGCCCCCCCAGCGAGGGAGCCGAGCAGGGCCGACGCGGACGATCGGGTCGCCAGCCGCCGTCGAGGCCAGGCTACGGCAGAACGTCGGCTGCCAACAGGGGGGCACGCCGCCAGTGGGCGGCACGCACGGCGGCGCGGGTGGGGCTGGGGCCAGGGGAGTCGCGCGCACCACCCCCCGTCGCCCCAGGTGGAACCGAGCGTTGTCCTCGCTCTGCTGGGGCGAGTACCGACCTCCAGCCACCAGCCGGCAGATGGCGGCGGCGTCTGCCTTTTCCGATTCGACAGCGGCCGCAGCGTCTGCCCGCAGACTGCCGTGGCCACCGGCCCCTGCCGCCTGCAGGAAGCACCCGTAGCGCAGGGGCCCGTCTGGCCCCTCGCACGTCGACCCCCAGACGGGCTCGAGACTAGCAAGCGGCGCAACGCAGGGGCTCCGTGCAGCCGCTCCGCCGGCGGACGAAAAGCTGGGGGGCACTGGCGTGCCAAGGGCGGGCCGCCCCGCACAGCGCGTAGTCTGTCATCGTCTGTTCGACCCGCGTTTACGCGTAGAAAGGTCGAGTTCGGCCGGCTGTGCCCCAAGCCCAGCCAGGGGGTCGGGGCACTGGCCCGAGCCAGGGCGACGCCAAACGGACTGCGAGCTAGATACAGCGCACAGTAACAGCAATGGAGTGGACATGCCAGGTGTGGGCGCCGTGCCCCTCCCCCCCCCAGTCACCCCAGCCCTCGTCTGACCTAGGGTCCTCTGCTCCCCAAGGTCCGCGAGTGGCCCGTGGCGTTCCGACGTTCCGCGCCCACCAGGGCGGCACGAGGCCAGGACACCACCCGGGCGGCAAAAAGCTGGAACAGCGAAGGACATAGCCGGTTCAGCCAAGGCGACGGAACGCCCGGACCAGGATTTCGAGGCGAGACGAACCGCGGCGCCAGGGGAAGCCCGTTCTCGCACGCTGATTCCAGGATTGTAGCTGATCGCCTCGGGTTCCAGCTTCGCCCCCCGCATCTTCCTGAAATAGTCGGCTTCGCGCGCGCACTGATTCCCGAGTGGTAGCTGATCGAATCGGGCTCCAGCTTCGCCTCCCGCGTCTCCCAGAAATCGCCAGAAGTAGGCGTGATGACTCCTAAGCAGTATTACCCGAATGCCTAGGGTACCAGCTTCGCCCCCCACTTCTGCCCTGGTTTGTTGGCTCCTCACTCGCTGATTCGTGCAGGGTAGCTGATCGCATCGGGAGCCAGCCAGGCCTCCCACGTCTGCCGTAGATCGCTGGCTTCGCACGCGCTGGTTCCGGGGGTGCGGCCGAAAGCATCGGGCTCGAGCTTCGTCTCCCGCGTCTGCTGGAGAGCGCAGGAGCAGAATACATGCCCTCCTCCAGGGGTGCCTCAACCTCTGCCGAAGGTTGGCTGCGGTCGCTGCTGCCTCAATGGGGCCGCACGTAGCTTGGCGCTGGTCGGGGTGTTGTAGCTCGTGATGATGGCGGGCTCCTCGCAGAGCAGCGATAGGGCCAGCTGCCAGGGCTCGCATTTCTGGCACGCGCTGATGGTGATGCTGTAGCTCTTGATGGCGCGCCCCAGCTACATCGCCCGCAGTTCGCTCCGCAACGACAGGGCCCGCCGCCAGAGCTCGTCCTTCTGGCACGCGCTGATGGGGATGTTGCAGCTCATCGTGATGGTGGGCTCCAGCTTCACCGCCCCACTCTCGCTGAGCAGCGATAGGGCCAGCTGCCAGGGCTTGCCCTTTTCGCACGCGCTGGTGGAGATGCTGCAACAGATAATGGCGAACCTCAGATTCACTACCGCATCTCGCTCAGCCGCGACCAGGCCCGCTGCCAGGGCTCGCAATTTTCGCACGCACCGATGGTCATGCTGTGTCTCATGATGGCGGGCCCCAGCATGGCCGCCCGCATCCCGCTAAGCTGCGACGGGGCAAGTTGCCAGGGCTCGCCCTTCTCTCACGCGCTGATCGGAGTGCTGTAGCTCCAGATGGGGGGCTCCAGCGTCACCAGCCACGTCTCGCTGAGCAGCTACAGGCGCTAGCGAAGGTGTGCTCCCAGCTGTGCAGGCAGGGATGCTGACGTCGGTGCTCCCAGCTGTGCTAGTGAAGATGTTGGCGTCGGTGCTCCTGGCGGCACTGTCGAGGACGCTGGCGTCGGTGCTCCCGTCTGTGCTGGCGAGGGCGCCAGCCTCAGTGTTTCCGAACGCGCTGGCGAGGATGCTAACCTCGGTGCCCCCCGCTGTGCAGACGAGGAAGCTGGCGCGGGTGCTCTCGGCTGTGCTGGCACAGAAAATCGCTTCGGTGCTCCAGGAGGTGCTGACGAGCGGCAGGCCGCGGCGACGCCGGCCAGCACGCCTTCCGCCCCCGCTGCCGCTGGGGGAGCGCCAGCGGCAGCGGGAGCAGCGGCAGGGCAGGCGGCCGCGGCGCCCGCAGCCGGAGTCGAGGGAACGACGTCTGAAGGGCGAGGCCGGAGGCGGCCTTGACGCTGGCCGCGGCCGCCGCTGCGGCGGCGGCGGCAGCAGCCGCAGCGGCGGCAGCGAGCCAGACCGCGTCCAGAGCGCCGCCGTCGGCCGCGGGCAGCGACGGTGGCAGCGGCAGCAGCAGCGGCGGCGCCGCCCGCGACGTCGCCCAGCCGCTGACAGCCACCAGCGGCAGCGGCAGCTGGGCCCGCGTCAACGCCCACTGCCGCCTCCGCGCCCTGCGGCGGCAACAGCAGCGGAGGCCGAGGCTGGGCCGACGCCAGGTGGCAGGGCAGGCCCCTCGCCGCCGGCCGCCCGCGAGGGACCAGCGTCTGGAGGCGGCGCCCGTCAGCACGCCAGCGACAGCGGCAGTGGGACGGGAGAGGAGGGAGCCAGGAAAGGGGCGCAACTGTCCCAGCTCCCCCCAAGAACACCAGAGGGCGGGGCAGCATCCGGCGCTGGGCGGCGCCGCTGCGCCAGAGCTGTTTGAGCCAGAGGCTACCGTAACGACCCCCAAACAAGCATCATCAGCAGCAGCGACGACGCAGACAGCAACGCACCTCGCGATGCAACGCCCGTGCCTTCCATGCCGTCTCCTACCCAAGTCTTTCGGCACTCGCGAGCCCTTCGCTGCGTTTC